GTCCTCCCTCGGCCGAGCCACCTGGCCCGCGTCGCCCGACGCCGGGGGGCTTACTCTGAGAGCCGTCGTCCACACGGTCGAACTCCCAGTCCGGCGACAGAGTGTCCACGGCCATCGCCGCGGCGCCTCCAACAGACACAGCACCGAGCAGACACCGCCGCGACGCGGGCCTCACCCCAGCCGCTGTCAAGGCACGTGACTTCCGGTTTCGGAACCGCCCCCGGGCTCCCGAGCCAGTGGACGCTCGGCCCTGCGGACCGCGGGGGCCGCTGGGAAAGCGAGTCCTCCGCCTGCGCCTGGCGAGGCCGCCATGGTGACGGTGACTATTGGCGTCCTGGATCTTTTCCCCTGCCTCGCTGCGGTCTGCGTCCGTTCTCAGGCTATAGTCGGTTTCCCCTTGCTACGTCCAGGCTATTTTTAATACCTGAAGGAGTTTCTCAGTCTGGCGTGGAAAGAGCAGAAATAACGGGGTGGGGCCAACGCAAAAACAGGGTCCTTCACCAGGACACTCTGGCGGTGGACTAAGACGCCTGTCTCACCGCTCCTTTTCTGTCTTTACCATCGAGGTCCCCCGACCCCCGTACATGTCCTGTCCCAATTGTTTCTGTTTGTTTGTTTTGTTTTTTGAGAAAAGACCTCTGTGTGTAGAAGAGTAGTGACTTTAAGAACGCTACCAAACAACCTCACTACTGGTCTTGCTTTACACATATCACTGTTCTTCTTTCCCTTGTTTTTAAGAAGGTGGGGTGGAAATTGTGTTACCTCAAGTTCTACACAAAAAGCTTTATATCAGCTCGGTTTTTTGTAAGTGCTTATGCTAAACAGTCTAAATACTCATCAAAAAATTACAAAACTTAAGACATCCATACTCTGAATTCCTAAAGAGCTATAAAATGAAATGGTTCTCAAATGGCATGAAAAACAGGACAGGAGCCGATCTTAGAACAATGCATATTTGCCGTTGCATTACAGTCTATGTAAGCATGTATATATTCTCATGTGTTCACAAATACATAGGAAGATTCAAATCTCTTTGAACAAGACAATGGGAAACAGTAGATCCTGATAAATACAAAGTGGCTCTTAAATTTTCCTTGTGTCTATTAATTGAATCGTTTGCAACTAGAGTTCTTAAGTTATTTGCATTATAAAGTGCAAAAATCAATATAGAATATTATCTTGAAAAGCATGTTCTGAGATGTTGAGGTTTGGACATGGTTTTATTTTGAGGAAAGATATCATCATTGCTGAGCGGCCCTGTTGTTCCTGGGCCTGTGGCAAGGATATGGAGTGAAATCTCCAAAGATCTGAGCCAAAAATGATCATCTTCACTCTGTACGATGCCGATCTCAGGAATGTATTACAGTGACAGCTGTCAACACAAGAGGACTTCTGTGCCTCTGGTTTCATGCCTTCTGATGTCCTGTTGGAATGTGGTTTCTTTCTGTAGTTTGCATGGTTCTGGCAGCATTCTGTAGGTTCCATATGGTAGCTGTTAGCAGCTTCAGGCTCACATTATCACAAGACTAAATCCAGCCTACGAGACAAAAAGAGCACACTTAACTGATAGCTCGAACAAAAGTCCCAGAATCAAGTCTTTCCAGTAGTGACTAGCCTTTCTCGGTACTTGAGCACACTTTCCAACCAGTCTCAGAAACTGAAAGAACGGGGAGGGAGGGGGACGGACGGATGGATGGACTGGACAGATTGCCTTAGTGTAGGCCATGTGCTCCTGGGATGCAGAGAGCAAAGGAAGAAGCAGCCCTGTAGGAATCACCTGGCCTGGGAGTGCAGGAGACTGCACTATATGGAAACCAGTGGCTGTTACCACAAGAAGAGGAGATATATGTGGGGGGGGGGAGCCTCAGGAGCTATGACAATGATTACACCACTGAACTACTTGGCCAAGCACCTCACAGTGACTATGGACCAGGTACTAGTTAGTAATTAGTTATTACAGTAAAACGGTTTTTTAAAAAAGATTATTTCAAAATTCATTTTGTAATAATTTTATTATTTAAGTCCTTACATTTAGAAGTATAGATCACACAACTTCTAGGACTTTACCAAAATTTATTTTGTAATTGTTGCATAATCTATAACAAGAGGCTTGTTGTTTTTGTTGTTAAGCCCATGGACCCCAGACTAAACTTGAAGTCACTATACAACTGAGGCTGGCCTTGAATTCCAGATCTTCCCATACATAGATAATTCCAGATCTTTCCCCTTCACTAAGTGCTGGGATTACAGGCATGTGCCCCATGCCTGGCTTTGTAAAGAAATTAGCAAATCCAAACAGAAGCAAAAGTCTGGAGAAAAGCTGAAAAATGGGCAACCCAGAGCATGATGATCTATAAAAAGAGAAAGGCTCGGCAGAAACATGTTTGGGGGGAAAGCCAAGAGTGTAAGAAAACATTCCTTACCACCAAAGTTTGATATGGTTTTAACTGTGACTATGATTTTATGCTACATCAACTGGACATTTCTACTGGTACTTTACATGAGCATCTGACCAACATCATAGAATCCACAGCTGAATTCTCAGTAGTACACTCCAGAACCTGCTTCCCACGCTGTGTGAGATCCATGTCTCACTTAGTCAACGGCTGGATGACCCATCTACGCCAAGCTGGGTACTATGACAATGCTTTCTGTTTCTCATCTTCTTGATGTAACCAGTGAAAGGTTAAATTAATCTTATTTTTAAATGCCTTTCAAGTTGTGACTGAAATGCAAAAGTTGTCAGTATCAAAATAGAGTCTCATGAGGGGAAAATGACCCAGCAGGTAAAAATGCTTGCCACCAAGCCTGACAACCTGAGTTCAGCCCCTAGGACTCACACAGTAAAAGGAGGGAATTGACTACTGCAGTTTGTCCAGTGACCTTCATATGCACGCCCTCGGATGTACATAGATAAATAAAATGGGGTCTGATGTCAACCTTACAAAAAGCAAAATGAATAAAACCATGTGGTCATGAAGGAAGGATTTCCTAATAATTGACACAAAATATTCTGCCATATTCTAAGATTTGCACAAAGGGATATGCAACCTTCTGGGAAAATAATACAGCCCTTGTTATAAACACTGCGGCCAAGAAAAATGGTTTCACAAAACTAATGTAACCCTTCCTACTTCTGCCTTTAAAACCTTTCTTCTAGGGTGTTGGTGGCACACACATTATTTTTTATTTTATTTTATTTTATTTTTTGGTTTTTTTGAGACAGGGTTTCTCTTTTGGAGCCTATCCTGGCTCTTGCTCTGTAGACCAGGCTGGCCTTGAATTAAAAGAGATCCACCTGCCTCTGCCTCCCAAGTGCTGGGATTAAAGGCATGCTCCACCAATGCCCAGCTAGTAGGGCACATTTTTAATCCCAGAAGTTGGGAGGCAGAAGCAGGTTAATCTCTAAATTTGAGGCTAGCCTGGTCTATAGATTGAGTTCCAGAGCAGCCAAGGCTACAAAGAGAAACCATGTCTCAAAAACAAAACAAAACAACAACAACAAAAACCCTTCCTTTTGCCTGAACCTCTTTATACATGCTGGGGGTTTATATGACTGTTCCCTGTGTGGCTATCCCCAAAATAGCACTCTTTGAAAAATCTCTTTTTGGTTTTAATTTGGCTTGACAAAATTGTTACCCTTGTGTTGTGGGATTATTATTTTTTGTGATTTTTTTATTTGAATTAGAAGCAAGATTGTTTTACATGGCAATCCCTGTTCCCTTTCCCTCCCATCCTCCCCTACCACTCTCCCATGTGTTGTGGGATTATTAATGACTTTTTTCTGTCTTTATCCATTTCATTATTTTATAATATTCAACAGCAAATGACAGAAGATTCAGGGCTTTCCCGAACCTACTTAACATGACCAGTGGCTGGCTGGCTGCAGTCTTTCCCTGTCTCTCTCCTCCACATTCGCCCTCCCCCTGCCCCCCCCACACACATACCAGCTTCAATGTAAGTTCTGTTGTGATTGGCTTAAACTGTGCTCAGAGACATCTCTTCCAGGAACTGCTCAGGAGGCTGCCAGGAATGATCAAAAAACATCTTTATCCAAAGAGCATACACAGTCTTGCTTTTAAAGTATAATAATAATAATAATAATAATAATAATATAATGTGGTACTGTGTTTCTTTTAATATATCATCTTTTAAGAAATATATTTAGCCAGGCGGTGGTGGCACACACCTTTAATCCCAGCACCTGGGAGGCAGAGGTAGGCGGATCTCTGTGAGTTCAGAACAGCCTAGTCTACAAGAGCTAGTTCCAGGACAGCCTCCAAAGCCACAGAGAAACCCGATCTCAAAAAACAAAACAACAACAACAACAACAAAAAAACCTAGCTGGAGTGAGTGTTCACAACAGGCAGACTCCTGTGCCTGCAGAGAAGTTCAAGACACAGCAGCTGAAGTCACAGTGACCCTCCTCCCTACTGCTGGTAATCTGCAGTAGACACACTCTAGTATGCCATCTCCAATCACTGGGGGCCACAGGAGAGCCATTCCACCAAGGGAAACAAGAGCCAACAGAAATGCCTGGTCTGTGGGCTCTCTGCTGGTCAAAATGAAAAAGAAAACTGGAGGAGGGGGGCTATTTTAGGTCACTGATGATTACTGTAAGTTTGTCCCAAGAGACCTTTATCAAACTGTACTATGCAATGAGATCAACAACAGGCAAAGTGAAATGACTTTGAACTTTACAGTGTCCCTAGGTTTATTCTGTATCGCTGTAAACAGAACTTGACTGAGGAATATCTAAAGAGGTTTATTTGAACTCACAGTTCCAGTGTCTGGGGAATCTGAACAGCATGGCAAAGACATCTATGAGGACTCTCTAGCTATGTCCAAACATGTCAGACAAGCAGAAAGGGAAAGTTTCTTATGCAGGGAGATCCAAGCATACAAAGTGACCTCCAAAACGAATCCAATTGCAGGAATCCCAGTTCACTCCAGGATCTTACTGTCCCCCACTTGGCCCTAACTCGTTTCAAGTACCTACCACCTGTGCGAGAGAGAGGGGGGGGGGGATAGGGGGCAAAGGGAAGGGAAATAAATGCGTGCATGCTTACCCAGGGCCCACCCAGCCCATGAGATGGTGCCACCCACAATCAGGACGTCCCAGGCCATTCTACTTTGTGCCAAGGTGACCAAAAAAAGTAGCTCCGATGGACCATTGCACATCTCTCTTCCTG